GAAGGAGAAGTCATCGTGGGATGCAGAACTGGAAGAAGATGTGAAGAAGGAGTTCTTGGAATGGTGGAGCGAGGTCCCTGATTTGGACAACATTCACATTCCTCGACATGTTTGTGCATCTCGTCAGGAGAGATGTCAAATCCACACATTTTCGGATGCTAGTCAGTTTGCATACGCTGCGATTGTCTTTCTTCGTGTGGACCTGGGGGACGAAGTATCAGTGCAACTGATTCAGACAAAATCAAGAGTTGCCCCCATCAAGAAGGTCACAATCCCTCGACTTGAATTACTTGGTTGTACAATTGCAAGTCGTTTAACAGCATCAGTCAAGAAAGCCTTATCTATGGAGGATGTGCCCACTTATTTTTGGAGTGATTCGACCACTGCCATCGCATGGATTCGGCGTAACGACGAGTGGGGTACTTTTGTTGGGAACAGAGTCAAGGAGATTTGCACCTTAAGTCAGCCGAAGCAGTGGTCCCATGTTCCAGGTGGAATTAACCCTGCAGATTTGCTGTCGCGTGGTTGTTCGCCGTCGAAATTAGTGGAATCTCGTTGGTGGGAGGGACCAGATTGGCTTAAGGGTCCGGCTGAAAATTGGCCAGCGCATACCGAAAAGCTGGATGAAAATGCAATCAATTTTGAAAAGAAGAAGGCTTTTATGAGTTCCGTGGAGACAGTCGATGCATGGTATGTGAAGCGTTATTCAAGCTATATGAAGAATATTCGCCACATTGCCTACCTCCTTCGATTTGGCGACAAATGCAGAAAAAGGAGCAGTGAAAATGGAAAACTAACGAAGGAGGAAATAAATCGTGCCGAAGTGACCTTGGTGCAGTTGGTGCAACGAGAAGAATTTCCAATGGATCAGAAAGTAATTTGTGGACTCCGTGTGGTCAAGAATATTGATGGAATTCTCTGCGTGAAGACCAAGCTGCTGAATAGGATGGATTCAGAACACTTCCGGTTGCCGATTTTAATGCCAAATGATCATCCCATGGTGGAGCAACTTATTAGATGGAGTCATGCTATCAACGGGCATGCTGGGGTCCAGTTTCTTATGGGATCGCTCAGAGAGAGTTTTTGGATTATTCAAGCAAGGAAAGCAATTAGAAGAGTTATTGGGAAGTGCGTGACGTGTCGCCGTTTTACTGCCAAATCGGGAAATGTGACGGAGGCAGCATTGCCAGAAAATCGTGTGAAGACCGCAGCAGTTTTTCAAATCACGGGAGTGGATTTAGCAGGTCCGCTCACTCTGACCGACGGGTCGAAGACTTGGTTCGTGATTTTTACGTGTGCAGTCTACCGTGCAATCCATCTGGAGTTGGTGACATCGATCAGCACTGATTCGTTTTTGTTGGCGTTGTTTCGCTTCGTGAGTAGACGTGGTCGACCCACCACAATCTACAGCGACAACGGGACGAACTTTGTCGGAGCGGACAATTTGTTCCGAAAATTGGATTGGAAGAGGATTGAAGCCGAATCCCAAGTTCAAAGGATTCAGTGGCTGTTCAACCCCCCTACAGCAAGCTGGTGGGGAGGATTTTGGGAGCGGCTGATCAGAAATGTTAAAGATTTATTGAAACGTGTCCTGGGTCATAAGAAATTGAACTACGATCAGCTTCTCACATGTCTTTGCGAAGTGGAAGCTGTCGTGAACGGAAGACCCTTAACCTTTGTAAATGAGGACCAAGACGACCTCATCCCACTAACACCGGCTATGTTTATTCAAGATATAACTGTGACGGAATTTCCGGAAGTAGCGGTTTTGGATGGGAGTGGTCTGAGGAGGCAGTATGAAAAACTGAAGACGTTGCGAGTGCAACTGCGAAATCGTTTCCGAAAGGAATATCTTGCACTTTTGGTCCATAAGGGCAAGATGAAGAAAGAGCATAAGTTGGAAGTTGGAGATCTTGTTCTCATCGGTGCGGATAATAAGAAGCGTTTGGACTGGCCAATGGGAAGAATTGTGGACTTCCTCGGAAAGGATCAAGCCCGCGTGGCGAAAGTTAAGACGATGGGAGGAATGTTCCTGCGACCCATTCAACGTGTCTTTATCCATTGGAGATCTCATCATCGAAGGAATTGCCAGCAGTGACACCAGAGGTCACGAAGACTGCCAGATTGGACAAGGAGTCTGCGGTGCAAAAGTTGAAAGAAACTGAGCCGGGGATAGCTACCCGATTTGGACGTAAAGTGAGAAGACCAGTGAATTAAAGTGTCAAAAGTTAAAGTTATAATTCATGTATTTGTATAAAATTATCTGGTTTTCTTTTGTTCGTTTCCTCACGAAAGAAAAGGTGGAGGATGTAGAATTTAGTATAAGGTTTCATAAGTAATGATATTTTGTAGTTGTATGAAAATGCCTTTATTTCTTTGTATTGTAATTGAGTGTCTCATAACCTCGTGATTTTGAGTTTTCCGGTTCTCTTGGGCTTGGGCCACTATTTTTTCTGTTGCTGTGTGAGTGAATAATTGTATGGATTATTCTTGGGTTTGAGTTGGTCATGAGAAGTCATGTAAAATTAATGTTCCAACGAATTAATTGATTCTAATTAAATAAAGTGGTTTAGTAAATGTAATTGGCTTTACTAGTTCCAGCTTTGATTTTAAAGTAAAGAATCGCAAGAATCATAAGTCACGAGAAGAGTTTTAAAGTCATACACCGCATTCCACTCGGCAATTTTTAAGTGAGGACTTATCTACGGGTAGTAGGTCTGCTCCCTCAACATATATTAAGTTTTACATAAGTAAAAACGTGATAAGGCAATCAATACATTTCTGCCAAATAACAAAGGATGTCAATTTATCGAAGAATCCGCCATCACCCAACAATAATTTTGAAGGGGGCAGGAATTGATAAATTGCAAGTCCCATTTCGTGTATTTGCCATTTTTGACGAGGTGAATAAAATCAACGGACTTTATATATGGGTAGGAGACAATTTTAAAAATTCCATGAATAATAAGGAAGAAATCGAATGCAACAATCGAGAATAGAATAACAACTGGCAATGGAACAATATCGGCGGAGCTAATTACTACGTATAGGGCAATACTCCCACATATCATTACAGCACCGGTCACTATAGCCATAGCCGGGTAATAGAAAGCAAAGTTATGGAAATTTGATAACAATTGCAACGTTCTATACTCTTTTAACGCGATGCATCTGTTATTCCTGCGATTTCTGTAATAAAAATAAAATAAACCATTAAACGCATGTAGCTAAGGTGAAAAACCGACTTTGGGGTTCTACACATGCACGATAAATTTGCTGAGAATAATAAATATTAAGCTACCTTCCCATCATGGTGATGAGTAATAGCTTTATTTCCACCGGATACAAGAGCATTAACATAATTACAAAAGATACAATGCCTGTAATAATAGTCCACGTGTACCACTCAAAGAAGCCAACACCGGTCCTAAAAAGAAATCCAAAACCACCATCATCCCCCCAAGATTGACAAGCCGAGAAGATCAGTCCGCTTATGATGGGGGGCATGCAGGGTCGGATAAGACTCAAAACAAATATTGCCACGGGAACCACACCTATAGAAACTGTTACACATGCCGCCAAAAATAGAAAGTAACTTGTTACCCCGCTAGGTTTAGTTGTTCCCCCTAAAATTAAATTAATTATTGGGGAACATTAATTTCCTTAGGAAAACCTTAAACCAAATTACCATTCCTTCCATCTAGATTGTATTCTATCGACATTGACGAATTAAGAATAATGACGGACTCTCGTCGTATTCAGATGATGTGACAAATACCATATGCCATTGCACCGAATAGTATCACACAATACGTCATTAAAACAAATTCCCAATTCGCTACGGAATTATATTTGTTAAACCATTGAACTTTAAACCAGTCAAGGCACATGATTAAATGTAAAAGAATTGAAGACATGGCAAGAAATGGGAATAAGTGTAAAATAGAGCCTGAATTATAAGGTCTCAACATTTGTTTTTTTATGGTTATGGTAAATTGCTTCATAATGAGACAAATTTTGGAGAGGAAGAGGATTAATGGGATGTAGGTTTCTACATGGGAAAGGTGCCTTAGGTATTTTAGCTGGATGATCGAGCTACACATCGTAAGCTTAGGGTAATAAAGGTCTGTCTATTTGAATGGGAAGGTATGAAATAAGGACTTAGGTGAGAAAAGCACTTAAAGGGTCTGAAATCCGTAGCCTACGTTCTTGTCAATCTTTAAGGCTTCGCAAGTTTGTGTAAAGTATTTTATTCAGTTAGATTATCCGACTTTTGGAAAGAATGTTTTAACCAGAGTGTTTGAAATACTGTAGATTAGCATTTTTGATTAAATAAAATTCCTGAAATTGTATGGCGTCCTGCACCGTATGAAGCGTGGGAACCGACTTCACCAAGAGAACGAGTACTAGACCGAACACATGCACCTTAAAGAAACGGAATTACATGTCGACTTGGATTAAGGATTAATTTGTCCCCAAACCAAAATCTCTCTCTCCCATCTTTAATCTAGGATTAACTATAAGCTCTGAATATTTTATGAACCTGAACGGCCTCGTGTAGGTTTTGAAACGTAGATACATACATACAGCCGTAGCTTGAGGTATATAATTGCAAATGAGAGAGGTAAGCAAACTTTATGAAAGAAATTGGAAATGAAATATGACTAATCAAAATTTTGAGTAAAAATTTGACATGAGTTAACATTCTGAACGGCTTTATATCGGTTATAAAAGGTACCCAACCAACATACATACAGCCGAAATAAGTGCAATTGTAATAGTAATACATGGACAAATGTGTAGATACAAATTTAATTCTCGAAAGAAATTGAAATCTAGAAATCGAAATCTCTAATAACAATTTTTAAAAATAGTCCAATCTTGAATTGGAATGAAATAAAATACAAATTAGTTCTTGAATAAAAAATTATATAAATCTACATATGTAAAGGTTTTAAAAAAATGATTGCTTTAAAATTTTATTATTGGTACTTTTACCTTATGCTTGCTTTTATTTTATTTTTATACTCTCCCTTTTTCCTTAATATTTCTGAAAACTTTGTCAAATTTAAGAAATATTTGGATATGAAGAATGCTTGATAACTAACGTCGGATGATCCCGTGCCGGTAGGCAGTACCAAAATTAAGTAAAGTAACAATGCAACGACGGTGTATGTAAGGCGTGACTCCCAGATTTGTTTGAAATTTTGTGTAATTATGTAGTCCAAGTCAATACAACCAATGTGTCTAGACGAGTTTGTGCTATGGTTGGGATTTTTCAAAATACTTATTTGAGGTAAAAGTTGAAAAACTGGGTGATTATTACCAAACGGACGAAGCAAACTCCACTCGCATTCCGCTGGAAGGAATAAATCGTCCGTTTGTCAACTTCGCCCTCAATATTTTCATAAATTCCAACCATAGCACAATCTGCTTCAAAAAACGTGGGTTGTATTGAATCGGGGCTGCATATTTCCAAAATTTTCAAAATCAGAGCGGTACACTTTACACCATCGCATTGTAAGATGCAAAGAGCTACTAAAATTTTAAAATCGCAAATCGTTTATTAGGCTAGTTTGGCTTTAAGTTATTACGCTCATCTTCTCCAATTGTCATCTGTGTCTGCGCCTAGCGCAGCGTGCCCCCGTGTATTAAACCTTGGCTGTTGAGATGAAGCTGGAAATTAATTAATTACGAATGAATTAATAATTATCAATTTTTCTTATCAGTAGTAATTTAATAATTTAAAGATCTGAAGATCTGATTACCGGAACTTGTACTTTGCTGACGGCTAATCGGGTCTTTATGCTCCCTTCCCACGAATTCCTCATTATTGTTGTTAAACCACAAATTATACGGAAAAGTCGACCAGGATTGATACTCCGGTTCTCGTAGCTTTGATCGGAACGTGCCACCTGGAAAGTTGTATTCTTTTCCTACCTGGAAAATTTCCCATATTTTAAACACATTTTTAGCCGGAAAATTAAATTCTTACCAGATTATGAAATGTTAAATTTTATGCGCCACTTTCTGCGAATATTTCTTGGCAAATTGTTACTGAGTCAATCTTATTAAGCTTTTTTTTGCAAATATTGCTATCGTTACTACAAAAATTTAGAACTCACCTCATACCGATTTTTTGCTACTTGGTAAGACTTTCCGATCGCTAAAGCCACCATAATCGTCACCCCGTCATCCTGCGTAAGCATGACGCGAAGATACGGCGTTTGGCGAGCAGCCTGCAAAACTTTGTCTTCAATAAGCCAAACTTTTGCGGAGAAGGGAGAACTGAAAAATTTCAAATTAATGAAAATAATGTTCGAACTTTTGGAAGAATTATAAATACATATTTATGACAATTAGTAAACCCCATTTTTTTCTTAAAAAACGGAATACACAATTTAAAAAATGTCGTCATTTTGAAAAGTAAACCCCCCTCCGTATTATAAATTCATAACTACATACAGGGTGGTTTAAAAGTCAGGTTACAATGGAACATTTTTCAATGGGAAAAATTCGTAGATTTCCATTAGTTACGGATTTGGGATTGAGATTTTTATTAATTGTTATCAAAACTTATGCAACACTGATGACAAAATTCTTAAAATATTGAATTTCAGAGGCAAAATTTCTGTAACTAATGGAGATTTGCGAATTTTTCCCATTGAAAAATTTTCCATTGTAACCTGACTTTTAAACCACCCTGTACATTCACAAAATCCGTCATAAATTTAACTCTTAATCAAGTCAAATACACTCTACATAGGTTACTGAATTTTGAAATTATGAGTGCATCCAATTTTCAATACGGTTGCATTATTTTTAAGAGTGTACGTTAATATGTACAAATGTCTACATTAGGATTTGCATGGAAATCACTTACTCAATCGGTCCCTCAGATTGGACTTGATCAAACGTAAAGTTTCCGGAGGCTGTCATATTTCTGTGCTTTGTTAGACAAAGTAAATATGTATGGACTATGTAACTTCTTTAATTTGATGGATGTATACTTATTTATGTTTGAATTGATATTAACATATGTATGTAAATACTATTTTATGTTAATTTTAAGTATTACTTTTGTATTAATTGTGACTGATTAAACTGTAGGTGATCATGTATGTTGTAAAGTGTAAACTGAAATGAAGATCATCTGACTTGTCGAGGTCGCCGACTTGCAGTGGAAAGGGGACCATAATATTTGTATGTGCTCACATATGTACGTACATAAATACAAACTTAAATATAGAATGTGCTGGTGAGGAAGGAAAAAGGGTCGATTTTGTGGATTCGACCGGCTTCAACGTAAAAGTTTAATGGTTGGGCTAAATATGTAGGATATCTTGGCAAAGTCGCTCACTTATTTCTACCCTTTGCTGCTAACCCTTTTCTTAGAATTTTGGGCAGGAACTTTGTTAAAAATATGCGTATGGGGGCGTCCATATATTACGTCATCAAAACGGTCGGTGGTTGGATTTGGCTCAACTATGTTACCCATGTTAAGCGTACACTGAAAATAAGGTAGTAATGAATCATTACCATGCGGAATGACTATGTGGCTCTACCACGTCGGTTACGATTTGCCGTAGAAATGGTAATAATAAGTTCAGGGAATAGCCCTTTGGCTTAGGGGATCGGGGGTGGAACTGTCACCACGCAGTCACACGTTCGATTCCTCTCTGTCCGGGAAGGTATTTGCTAATCCTACTCGGCTCGGTGTTAGTACGGGGTGGGTGCTCCTCTCATGGTTGGGTGAACCCGGCCAGACGGTCTGGCAATGCCAGAAAGGGGAGCCCTCACAGAGTCCGTTCTCTGTGAGAAGATCCAACTCATCGCCAGAGATATATGGTGAGAAGGAACCGTCACGGATTGAAAACCAGATGAGTTAATCTGATATCTAATGACGTTAAAGGATTATTTTCATTTCATTACATAGTCATTCCGCATGGTAATGATTCATTACTACCTTATTTTGAGTGTAGCATTAGCACCTAATTTTCCAACTGAAGGCACCCTCAACACTGAACTTGTCACTTCCTACGGATCAAACTCCGTCCTTGATTTAGTGCTCGGAATGTCATCCCCGAGTGGATTTACTACAACTGCCCCACGCCTCCACCTTGGATAAACTCCCCTTGTGACACGGTAAACATGAAATCATGCGATGAAGCTATTTGAAAATTGATAGATACACTGTAAAGCATCCGGTAGAGTCACATGTGTTCTTTGTAGTGGTATTGATTTGGTAATAATTCCTTACCGGATTGGTTATAGTTTGATTCTGAGTGGTAGCGATTTAATTACCACAACATTACTACGCCGTAACGATCGGTATTACCGATGCCGGTAGAGTCATATATGTACTCCGCCCGGAAGTAATTCATAATGATTCAATACCTGTTGCCTAAGAGTGTACATATGTAGTTAGATAATTGTTGAACATATTTGTGATTTTGGTAGTTAAAATATTTTGGGTGACTTTTTGTTTTTCTCATCGCTATAATTTTCGATGTACAGCTCCAGCATTTATAACACAATTTAATTCGCATTTCAAACCAATAACGTTGCCTTGCTGTTTGTTAATCCTACAAGTTTCGAAATTGGAAATATATAACTCACAATGCGATGGTGTGAAGTGTAACCCTCCGATTTGGTTGAAATTTCAAAATTACGTGTCCATGTCAATACAACCAACATTTCTTTAGGCAGTTTGTGCGATGGTGAGAATTTGTCATAATATCTGTATATGAGGTTAAAATTGAAAAATGTGCTATTCTTAACACGGGAAGTTGAGTTTGCTTCCCCGCGTGCGAAAAATCGCTCGTTTTTCAACTTTAACCTCAAATATTTTGCCAAATTCTGACCTTCGCACAAACTGCCTGAAGAAACGTTGGTTGTATTAATTGATATGGACCGCATAATTTCAAAATTTCAACCAAATCGGAGGGCTACACTTCACACCATCGCATTGTTAGTAATTATTGTATTACAAAGAGTTTTAGTGAAAAAGTTTGCTTTATTTGTCAAAATTTTGAATGCTACCTGCCATTAATTATCTATCAATGAATCTAAAAGAAGATGAGAAACTTATCAAAATATTTTTTTTAGTCAGTGATTAGTTATTGAAAATCCATAAAAACTGTTTATTTAGGACCTTTCATTCATTACGACTTTTTGAAGTGATATTATTTTAATAGATTAAGTTATTACCAACAAATTTTCTAAAAACATACAAATTTCTCGTTATGTTTTTAACGTGTGAATTTTACGACAATGATTAACCAATTCTGTAAAAGTGAAAAATTTCGTGCCGCAGAAATAACATTCTTTTTTCTTCACACCATCGTGCACCCGTTTGACGTGTTGTTGAAGGTTGGACCTGGAAAAAGTAGTGTGTTGGCATTTGTCACATGACAAACGTGGCACATCGTCAGTTCTATGGTTGGATACCATGTGAGACTTCAAGCCGGCTGGGGTCGTCAGTATCTTGGGACAACTTGGGCACTCATAGTTCACCGGATTTCCATGGATATCCTTCATGTGACGCGCGAGTGTAGATTTTGCCACAAAGTTTCGTGAACACAAGGCACATTTAAAAATCTTCCGGGCAGATTTGTCCAGGTGGGTTTTCTAGAACAAGATTGCGAATTATGTAAATGCAGGCACGATAACTAAGTAAAAAGGCTTGAAAAGCTAAACTTGTGGCGAATTAGTCTAAAATAAACCGTAGTAACGTTAGAATTAGCTCACCCTGTAATAATGATTTGGTTATAACTTGCCCCAAAGGTGCAGAAAAATGCAACAAAATAGATCAATAATTTTTATTCAATATTGCACCACTGGTGCAGAAAAATCCAACAAAGTAGATCAATAATTTTTATGCAATAGTGCACCAATGGTGCAGAAAAATCCAACAAAGTAGATCAATAATTTTTATGCAATAGTGCACCAATGGTGCAGAAAAATCCAACAAAGTAGATCAATAATTTTTATGCAATATTGCACCAATGGTGCAGAAAAATCCAACAAAGTAGATCAATAATTTTTATGCAATATTGCACCAATGGTGCAGAAAAATCCAACAAAGTAGATCAATAATTTTTATGCAATATTGCACCAATGGTGCAGAAAAATCCAACAAAGTAGATCAATAATTTTTATGCAATATTGCACCAATGGTGCAGAAAAATCCAACAAAGTAGATCAATAATTTTTATGCAATATTGCACCAATGGTGCAGAAAAATCCAACAAAGTAGATCAATAATTTTTATGCAATATTGCACCAATGGTGCAGAAAAATCCAACAAAGTAGATCAATAATTTTTATGCAATATTGCACCAATGGTGCAGAAAAATCCAACAAAGTAGATCAATAATTTTTATGCAATATTGCACCAATGGTGCAGAAAAATCCAACAAAGTAGATCAATAATTTTTATGCAATAGTGCACCAATGGTGCAGACCAATTAAACAATATAGCTCAATAATTATTATGCATCGAGGAAAGTCCAAATATTCTGCATCACTGATGCAGATTATCCTACCAACGATCAACGATAATTTTGAAAAATTTATGTCAAAATTGTCTAATAAACTCCGCCGAGTAGTATGCATTATTGGTGCGTTATGCATCCCATCCCCCAATTATTTCGCATCATTTGGTGTTACCGATTGTTAGATATCAACTGTGCTATTTATTTACTAAAAAATTCGATTCGCTTTGTTCAATACCAATGGTGCGCCTAACATATTCAATAATTGTCAAGGGGATTTTTAATTAGCATCAATTGATGCAAAAAGGTCGTTAACAGACAGACGGACAGACGGACAGACGGACAGACGGACGGACATGAGGAATTCAATAGCTCTCGTGCTACGCAGGGCGAGCTAATAAGTGTCAAATTTCATCTAAATCGGTGGTGCATTCAATTTAGCCCTAACTAATATGTAGGGAATGCTATAAGAAATCCAGTATATTGATATAATACCAAACGGAATTATACACTAAGAAAATGTAAATCCAGTATTTAAATGGGTCAATTTTATACCATCCAACGAAAATTTAGTTTATTCCAACCAAAATTAATAATTTGGCCAATAATGGAATGGGCAACGGGTTTAATTTTTGTGTCCAACGAAAATGTAAAAGCATCCGACCAAATTTTATATATCATATTAGTCTACTACCTATCATATTATTGACAGCATACATAAATGAATAGATATGGGTATGGATTTTATCATTCATCACTAACTCTCATTTGTTCCCAATTCTCATTCAACTTTTGTCAGACCATTCCTTATTATTCCGTAAAACTATTAACGAAAATGTCAGATTTTCAGCGACTAAATAATTATCATTCCGACTCTGACTCTGACACTTATCCAGGTTTTGTGATGGTTTCGCCAGAAGTCAGCTAATTGGGGCAATTTCTCTACATTTTGTTGAAAATGGGGGGAAGGTGGAGGGATCAAATTTCTTAAAATATGTTTTCGAGTCCGTGGTACATCCCCTCAATGGGATCCAGTTTAATGGAATCAATTAGACCTTTCAACCGGGCTCAGCACCAGCTCATAGTACGAAAAATGACCAAAGCGTGACTAAAAAAACAAATTGCGGACTTTTTCGCCACGTCGGAATGGTTATCCTCCTCGCTGGATTTGAATCCCCGGATTATGAAAAATGGTCAAAGTTAGTGGCAAAGGTGTGTTCTAAGCAGGCCCCGTTCTAGCCAATGTGTCGCCCTAGGCAAAAAGATAATTGCGCCCCTACGTTCTCGAGCCATAGCTATAGCTCGAGAACGATGCAAGTTAACATAGTAGGATGTAGATGGAGCGCCTATGCATAGGCGCTCGATGTACATCTAAGTATACAGTCGTACCGAAACTGGTACTAATTTCATTTACACAAATCAACATTTTAAAATAAGTTTAGTTAAATATGTTTGTATTTTTAATTCGTAAAAAATTGAATATTATTAAGGCACACAAGCCTAATCAAAATTTCTCACTTTTTGAGGCTTTGCTTATTCAAAACTAAATTCATATAAAAATGGATGGGTGAAAGTAAGGTTGTTATCTCCCGGTTCCACGCGATTATCATAGTTTTTGAGTTGTTCATACTAGGGCTGACAAATCCGTTCCCAATTTTCAAATCCGGATTTCGGATTATCCATTTATCTTGTGAATTACTTATTGTCATTATTTATGTCCTTGATATTTGAACGAATCAGATATGTAGATGTCAGATAGTAGAGTTATTAATTTCAATTGCAATCTCAGCTTTTTTAGAAGTTTCAATATTTCTGAAATTTTTCTGACGATGCAGGTAATTTCTGGGCATTTTTCTCAGTTCATGAACTGAAAAAAATTAGAATTTCAAATACCTAAGTGAGTTTGATGTCGGATATGATAAACTAACTATATTTGGAAATTTGAATGAATATCATGCTAATTTTTTTTAATTCACACTTCTCGCCAAGATTTGAATCTTTATATCGTAAATAAATATGAATCTTTAAGTTAGGGAAATCCGGATTCGTCTCTAAATGAGATCCGGATTTCGAAGTATCCGAAATCCGAAAAATCCGGGTTTTTCGAATTCGGAGTATCCGGATTTGTCAGTCCTAGTTCATACTCAGAAATAATCGGTCACATATTTTTTGGTTTTGTAGAATGTGGGGAATTGCGAATGTGTCGGAATTTTTTAAATCCAATGATAACAAAATATATACCAACCATACATATACATACCTGGATCTGATTCTAATTTTTCCAATTTCATCTGATTAAAAAAATCATCCCAATTTTTTGTGTAGAATTACCTGAAATTATAAAATTAATTTGCTAAATCTGGAAACTTTGATATGTTTATGCTACGAGCTTTTCTTTAACGACGCAAAAAAAGCATTAATTTGTGAAAATTGAAAGCAAGAAATTAATTTTTATAATTTCAGAGAAATAATTCAGAACACAAATTGTACATCTTTTTTAAAACGTGTAAAAATTTTATTTGATTTCGGCTGAAAATTAATTTACAAATTCCGCCACAGGCGAAAACATGCGCATTTTAGAAAGCGCAAAAATATGGGCCCGTTTATTTCTGATCGTTATTCTCAAATTAGTCCTGCCAAAATCGGAGATTACCACTTCACATTTCTGTAGGTGTTACGAACAAATTGCAGTTTATTATTAAAATTGCAAGTTCATCTGGCAGGATTATCAAGTTAAAATTTGAGAACAGTGCTGAAGAATACAATTTTGTACCACAGACTTCAGTTAAAGTCAGTTTTTTATGTTGTTTTCCATAACAGGTTATAAACTTCCACAAAGCCGTTTTTATCTAGTGTATAGGGGCGCCTGCCGGCGCCCCCAAATATCTGGCCCCCTAGGCGGTTGCCTAGCTCGCCTATACCTAAAACGGGGCCTGGTTCTAAGTCTTAGAAGTTTGGAAGCTTTACAAAAATCTTTCACCACGGAATGATACAATTTGTCCAGGAATTTAGTGCGTGCTTGAAGCAAAGACTGGAGGCAGGGTCTTCAGCGCCGCATTGATGCAGGGGGGGGGGGGGAAATTCCAAAAACCAAAAATTGTTTTCTACGCAGAAATTAACTGGCTTTCCAGTAAAATTTACTAGAAATTCGTAGCACAAAAACTGATGAAGCTACAGTGTTTCATTTCACTCCCAGTTACCTTTGGCATGCTATGTATACCTTCTTATTTATCGTAAAATTTGAAGCATAGACCGGATTTTTGCGTACTCCGTACGCCGGAGTACGCGTACTCCGTATTATGGAGTAAGCGGAGTACGGAGTACGGAGTACGCAAAATATCCGATCTATGATTTGAAGTACTTAAGGACAAGGAATTCGTTTATTTCTTATTTGGAAATTTAATTATTTTGTCGTGCATTTTAACAAAAGTTGTTGCAAAATAAATCAATTCGTTGCCCATTTCATAATTGGCGAAATTATTAATTTTGGTTGGATAAAGCTATATTTTCGTTGGACGGTTAAATTGGCACCCGTATTTAAATAATCCCAGTCGGTAGTTATACATACACACAACCTGTTCACCTTCATTCATTTGGGAGTAGCAATAATGTAAACCGGAATTTCGAAAGACAGAAAAAATTGATTTTGCTAAGCTTTGCACAGTTTGTAGAGCTCATTTTTTTAGCGCAATGGTCCCAATAATTTGGTTCAATTCCGCCCCGTGCTCCAGGGGGAGGGGGCGAAAATCCAAACACTGCAAACTGGGACACATTTCTCCATGATGGATAAAGATGCCGAGATGCTACTTTCACCAAAAGTATCCTAATTTGTTTTCTCTATAACCCGAATCGAGCATTTTTATAGATTCGAAAAAAAAATTCGATAAATAACTTATTTTGTGTGAAAATTTCAAGTCTCAAATGCCTGTATACGCTGCGTGGGTGGGTGTAAAAATCGAAAATTTTGTATCACGTAGTATACGGATGGTCCCTTACCTGGTGTGCTCTAAAATTTGACTGGTGTCTGTAGCTCCTGCTGCAGATTGAACACTTATAGTTTTTCTCGCCGGTGTGAATGGCAATGTGGTTTTCAAGGTTGGGCTTTTCCCTAAATTCTTTGCCACAGAGGGTGCACCCAAATCGGACAGGATTCGAGACATGTTCTTTTTGAAAGTGGTGGAAAGCGGTGCTTTCATGTTTAAAGATTTTAGCGCATCCTGTAAAGGTGCATGGAACTGGGGGTCGTGGGCACGTGTTGTGCATGCTTTTCACGTGTCTGGCAACGTCAACTTTTTCATGAAAGGATTTTCCACATCCTGCGAATGGACAGGGGCGTTGTCTTTCTCGCGGGGTGTGCATTCTGGTCACGTGTTCTTGAAGATGCGTTGTCCTGGCAAATTCGCGGTTGCATGTTTGGCAGCTGTTTTTGGCCATGTGGATTGAGTGATTTGAACTTTATCTCTACAAATTTCCTTAAATTATTTATTTATTTTGAATGGATGACGACGTTAATTAAAAGGATTCCAAAAGGAGGTCAGATCGGTCTTTTATCTAAATTCGTTGGTAGAGAGTATACAAAAAGAAAATATTTTTTTGAAAAAAAAATATTGGAATTTTTCAGTAAATTATTCGTGCAATTAGGAACGGGAATATAATTTTTGTATGATTTTTGTATTAATTTTTTACCTGGTTAGCCAGGCGGAATATGAAGAATTTTGTAACTGTATTTTAAACGTGAGGCACTGCCAATTTATAAATTTATTAATTATTATATATGTGCAATTAAATAGGTATTTCACTTATGTATAGTATGTAGCTTGTTAATTTAAGTCTAAATTAAATACCATTTATAATATTTTAGTTATTAATTCTGAGAACCCCAAGTCATGGGATTTAAGAATATGCAAATAAAAAATAAAGATACTTTTAAGCACTGGGAAGAATCTAGCCTGGAAGAAGGTTCCTAACTGTTTAACTCGTTGCCTAAATTTACTATAGGGCCAAAATCCGACCGTTTACTTTGGGAACGTCCATTTATTGCGTCCTCGAAGAGGTGTTCGACTGATTTTGCCTTGCACGTGTTAAGCGTAACACGGGTAGGATAGGGAAAGAGTGGATGATCAAAAAATCATAGTTTTTTGGAGACGTAATATATGGACGTTCCCTTTTTAAAAATATCCACTTGGCAAAATTAGGCAGAAAATGTATGCATTTGTCTGAAATTGGATTTTATATGTATGGATATGGTAGGGGGTCGTTCATAAGTTATGTAACACAAAAACCCGAATTTATATACCCCCCCCATTAACATAAAGCAAGATATCGTTAACATCTTGAACCCACTCCTCCCCACTTTAGTGACATAATTTATGGATGGCCCCTAAGGGTTAGTCCGTCTTGCGTTGATAATCTTGGGTTCATTTCCACTAATACTGGGTCACCATCGTTTCGATGAAGGGTCGTCATCCTTCATCATATTGATATCTATGTACCTACCATAAATACTCCATTTATAGCTGGGGCTAAAATCTAAAACAGAGGATGAGTGCGTGGTACAGACCCGGCTGTAATTATGTCTTAAAAATTTATTTACAATACATACTCTTTAGATTGCAAACTAGACGTACATATATTAAAATTGCTTGATTGACTAAAAGCACACCTTTCCGTGCTTTTCTCGAATATTCCGAGGAAAAACAGTTTCTCAGCACCGTCTATATAAATAAATATGTAAATATGTTGTGCAAAGATACTCACTCGGTGGACAGGTTTTATTCAGCCACATATGTACATACATATACACATCCATTTGATTCGTGTATACATCCATCCGATTATTTTTGGGTTTCTGGAACAATTCAGAACCAGTGGAATTAACGTTTTAAGAGCATCTGCCATATCCGAATAGGTAATTACTTATTGATTGATTACTTATTAGCTCGCCCTGCGTAGCACGAGAGCTATTGAATTCCTCTTGTCCGTCCGTCCGTCCGTCCGTCTGTCTGTGTGTTCACGAGTTTTTTGCATCAATTGATGCTAATTAATAATCCCCTTGACCATTATAGAATAAATGGAGTTCTCTCCAAGCTTCCTCTCGTGCACAACGTATCTCTCTCTCGCTCTGCATCTGGATCCTCTTCCATCTGGGTCGCGGGTGTGCCAGGGCAAGTAAAGTGTGTCCCAAGGCCTTTTCGCCATGTGAGCCTCGTCCACTCACACCCCCCACCTGCGTGCCTGGTGACACCCCCTGCCACACCCGTCCCAGCAACGACAAGCTGAGCCATCAGGCGAAGATGGATTCGCCGGACCAGTGCACAGGAGGATCTACGCTTTGGAGGGACTCCCCAAGTAGGTTTTGTTTTGGTATATCGGGGTGGTGACCGTGGGGAGTGGTTGTTTGAAGAGTGGGGGAGGGGGTCGTGCATGGCGGAGGGCAGCATAGTCTGGTCTACGGGGGTCCCATGACCTGGCTGTGTTGAGATGGGGGAAGGGGCAAGTGGGGGGGTCATCGGCCCCGGCTACGGCTTCCATGGGGGACGTGGGCAGATCCCACGGTCCGTGGATACCCCCCGCCCAACAACCTTCAACTGTCTGCTTCCGCATGCAGACGCCACCCTCATTTGGATATCACCAGCACCCCACGGAATCCTCCTATGTATCACTGCCATACATTTTTATACCTGGTGTCCAGTTTGGGCCGAATGGTGTATTGGGCCACCTTCCCAATACATGTAGAGGTTTTCCGAACTATCGGTTTTCCCTCTACACCCTTGCTACTGCTGCTATATACATATTATCATTAGATTGTAGCCTAAAATATTATTATGGTGTGTGATTAGCCTTATTGGGATGCCGTGTGCTACTTGTGGATCATGCCCACAACTGAGCACACACTTTACTAATTCTTAGATTGTACATTGTAAGAGCTTGCGCTATATCAATCTTGAATAAACCTACCTACCTACCTTATAGAATAAATTAGGCGCACCATTGGTATCGAACAATCCGTGGCGCAAATGGTGCGAATTAATTGTGCAAATGGATCGAGAAAGCACTACAATTTTGGAATAAGTAGCACCGTTCGTATTGAACAGTTGGTTATCCAAGCTGATGCGGAACAATTGGTTGAGCATCAATTGATACTCACTAGAATGGATCAGGTCCATTTTTTCATAAATTAATAGCACCGTTGGTATCTGACAATCGGAAACACCAAATGATGCGAAAAAATTGGGGGCTTTGATGCATAACGCACCAATAGTGCATGCTACTCGGCGGATATTATTTGACAATTCTGACATAAATTTTTCAAAATTTTAGGTGCTCGTTGGTAGGTAATTCTGCACCAGTGATGCACTATTTTTGGACTTTCCTCGATGCATAATAATTATTGATCTATGTTGTTTAATTTTTCTGCACCATTGGTGCAATATTGCATAAACATTATTGATCTACTTTGTTGGATTTTTCTGCACCATTGGTGCATAATTGCCAAAACATTATGTATCTATTTTGTTGCATTTTTCTGCACCTTTGGGGCAAGTTATAACCAAATCGTTATTACAGGGTGAGCTCCTTCTAACGTTACTACGGTTTACCGTTTAATTGGTGGACGCAATGTACTACGCACCAATAGTGCAGAATATCCGGAAAAGATAATCCTACAATTTTGGCATAAAGTTATCAAAGTTAAAGATGGCACTTGGTCTCCCATGCTGAGCAGGTTGTGCATACTAATTCGGCCTTTTCTTTTTTTTCCATTTCTTTATTACGGTTTATTACAGTTTCTTTACTACGGTTTATCAAATTTTTGTGTCATCCCCATTTTTAGGCAACGTTGGGTAAATTTTCCACAACTTTTATTTAGAGTGTAGGTATATGTAAGACGACCAGCTACATACATATTTATGTACATAAGCAATCACTTTGTTCGTTTGAAGTGGCATGAAATATGTAAGTAGTGCATATGCAAATATGCATGGACATGCATATGACCATAAATATTTAACATTCCACGTGCAGGATTCGTACTTTCTTGACATGTAACTTGACCAAGTTTGACTCGAACTGTTACACATTGTACATACATAATATGTATGTATTAAGATACAAAGTTCATAATAAGAAAGAAGCTTGACGAGAGTAAAGGCGAGTACATGATCATGACTTGTAAATCTGTATATGTATGTACATACCTTACCTAATTTACATATCTCTCCGTGTATGCATACACATTGTCCAAGCAACGTTTTGTGCATAATTGCTCCGGAAAGATAGGGTATCGGACTTTATACTCCATTACTACATGTCATCTGTCTGTGCACAAATACCTAAGTAGGAATTCAGTTCGCAGAACTAAATCGTGCCTTATTTCGACTAGAATTTGTACTATTTTATATAAATTTTGAATATTTTACCATTTTCAAAAAAATGTCTGACATCGACAATTTGCGAATTGCTCCATGGAGGCTGGACACTGAGGAGGTGTTGGGGGAAGGGGCCCTTGGAATTGTGTACAGAGGTGACTGAAATATTTTTATAATTTGGCAATATTATATATGTATATCAGTATCATACATAAAATATGTAAATTGTTATCATAAAAATGGTTCCAACGAACATATAAAAGTGGCGATAAATTTCCTTGAATGACAAACATGCAGAGCTTTTTGATTAGCCACGTTTCTATTTAATTAGTAATTGATAATTAGACGGAAAATATTTTGTCTAATTAATTGGTAATTAGCAACTAAACTCAGATTGCTAATTAAGCCAATTAATTAGAATATTGCCCAATTAATTGGTGATTTTCAGTGATTTTCTAATTAATTAGTAATTAAAATTAGCTTCGGTAGTGCTAGTTAAGGTTCATTAGTAATTAATAATTAGCTTAAATATGATATTTAATTAAATAATTAATTAGATTCACTAATTAATTAGAAAACCCTGCAAACATGTTTATATTATTTACACAGTGTATGTAAATTACATTCCACGGTCATGAGGTGATCGGAGGTCCAACGTATTGACGGTGTCGATTTAGTGACGAAATTTGTTTCAAAATGACGAATAATCACATGAAAGTTCCTGTTAAATATAATTTTGAACTGAAAATTTGAAGCACAATGGTGATAGGGAAGTAACAGCGTTTGGTTATGTTGAGTTCTTGAGATATCCTGGTTATGGACGGATGGACAGACAGACAGACAGAATGATCGCAATAAGCGACCGACTCGGTTTACATAATGGGGTACATAAATATAAGGAAATTATCATAAAAACGAACATTCATACATATGTACATATGTCTACACGAATGTTTCCTACATATCTATCAATTACAGGTACGTGGACACGTGGCAATAAAACGACCTGGGAGGAAGACGTTGCCATAAAACTTTTAAAAGACCCGCTACTCATCGACAAAGCTGAGGCCGAGGTACTGCGCATGAGCAGACTTGACCATCCAAATATTGTCAAGTGTTTCGGAATTTCTTTCCCAAGTAAGTCCCTTGTTTTAAGTACTTTTGAAGATCCCACATTTCATTCATGTCGAGTTGAATGGTATTCATGAATTTTCATGTAAATAGATGAAACGCCCTGGATTGTAATGGAGTGCATGACTGGAGGAGATTTATTGTCGTATATTTGCAACTATGCGGGCGGAATGCCAGTGGTTAGTTAACTTCTAAATTTTTCCGTATTTATGACTTGGATTTGATAATTTCACTTGACAGCATCCAATTAAAATTTGCATGATTTCCAGGAAAAGAACAAATATTAGTTTAGACCCGTTTTAAATTTTTTGATTTTATTGTAAGAAATGCGATAAATCCACATTGGTCTGAATACGGAAAATTAAAAAAATTGGGGGACAAAAATATCAGAAAAAATCAAGTTTTTACCACAAAATCACAAAGAGACAATCGTTTTTTAGAAATTTTGGTTACAGGAAAATTTATACATTGCGTCTTCTTTTTTGTATTTGCGAACTTTAGGATACCATGACCCAGCTAGCGTACGGGATTGCGTTAGGCATGCAATACCTTCATCACACCGCGGATCAATACCATGGCGACTTGGCTGCAAGAAATTGCCTAATCGGGCCAAACAACACAATAAAAGTGGGCGACTTTGGGAAGTTTGACAATGACTACGAGGATTCTTACTTTGATTGGAATCATGGACAGGTTTGTGCGAAATTTCTTATATATTTCTCCTTGGTGACAATATTTACGTCTTTGTAACCATTCCCGTAAAATTGAGCACTATCCAAAATACCTCCGCGGATGACGATTTGCCTCCAAATTATTGAAAATGTGTGTGGAGTTATGGCGTCGTGTGGAGTTATGGCGTCGTCTTGTTTGAAATTTGGACCAGGGGCTGCAGACCTTTCGGTAGCCTAAGCAATCTTGAGGTAATTAATATTTTACCCGCTAGAATTCTATGTATCTATACTTGTTCAAATTTTTTCATTCAAAAATCAGTCATCACAATTTTTTACTGAAGGTTTTCATTCAGTCATTTTCTTTCAAATTCATTTCATTTCACGTGACTTCATCAGACTTCATTTCGTACTTCGTCCACTGTATTAAGCACAGGGTGAATAATGAAATGAGTGAGAAATCCTGTCATTCACAGTCATTCATCTAAAATGAAGGAGTCCTTCATTCTTTTTCATTCAAATGGCAATAAAGTCATTTTCATTCATTATCATATTCAGTCAAATGAATGAAGATGAACAGGTATAATTTTAACTGTCGTAGGTATTAAACTTTAGCTAATTTATCCAGGTCAAACAGGCCCTTGCGGGCGGAAGGACGCCCAAAGATTACAAAGATGTCAAAGCAAAATGGTTCATACTAAAGTTGATGGACGATTGTTGGGAGTTTAATTCCTGCGAGAGACCAAACTTCAACATGATTGTGGACAATCTGGAAGAAGATGCCGGCCATTTGTTGGACATTTAGAGATTTTGTGTAGAAAATTTCGTTTTTTAAGTTAAAAAATTAGTGTTCACAATTTGACTTCAAATGTGCAAAATATCTTTGTAGATAATTATCACTTATTTTATAAAATCTGATATGATACACGGTTTATACGTGGGTCTTGACCATGAGCTCTATTTTATTTTATGTTACCGTTGCCTTTATAATTTACGAATTATGGCATAATTTCTAATTTATTGGCAAGACCATAAATTAAATAAAGTAAAATCTAGTTTGTGTATGTACATGCATTCGTTTTCTATGGTTTATTTTATGAAGTGTTAGTACTATTTATAATCGAATTGTGACATACATATTTAAATGCTTAGACAAGAAACAGGATATTATTAGTCCAACCAACCTTTCCAACTTACATTAGGAGAGAACATAGTTCGAAGAGAAGATGCATGCGACACATACATATTCTGATCGGCTGCGAAGGACCCCAAATTATTGCTTTTAGCACATTTTATTACTTGCCCTAATTCACATTGTTGAAAACGGAAATACTTACTTAACGGATGTGGTATTAACAGGAGCTTGCCTCGCTGCTATGAGGGAAGGAATGTGTTGTGACTCATCTATATACGAAATATTTACGAATGTTTCGAAATTATAATATAGTTACATACTTTCCCACTACCTACCCGCACGGCAAGCGTAGACCTGCATACGGAAAAAATTGGAGTTAGACCTGCAGTGCGAAGGTGGACCTGCGGTTCGGCGAAGCCGACCTGCAGTGCTGGCCGGACTTGCAGGTCACCGAGGGTGACCTGCACGTCCAACTATCCCTCGTCACTTTATGCATATAAAACTAAAGTGCTTGAAGGCCGCATATCCTCGTCATGGAGTTTTTAGTCTCAAGCTTTGTTCAATGTTTTAAAATCCTATTTCTAACGTCAAATTCATTTTTGAGGAAATTTGAAATTTATTGCGAAAAATGCTAAACGAATTGGCTATTTTTATTTTTTTCATCGACTTGTTTGTAGTACCAGAAATTATGGACTGGCCACTAATTTTTTTTTGTGTTTTTATTAACATAAACATTGATAAACTATGAAATACATTTAGTTGGAAAGAGGAAAAACCCGATGTTGGTGGGTTGGGAAAACCTTTACTTGATCCGGATAGGCGCCCGAGATCACCATTCGGCCCCTTACAAGGTTTTTGTAAACAACATGACCTATCATTTAAAACAAAATAATTCTTCTAATCCTCGTCACTAAAAGAAAGTGTCATGGTTCCCTCAATTGGTTCGACCAGTTAAAAATTGATTTTGCATATGTAAAAAACATAAAAAGTGGTAAATTTAATAAGCTTTCTAAAACTGAAAACAGAATTTGATTATTTTTTTAAAAAATGACAACAAAATTTGGAGGAAGTGGAAAACTTAGTTTGTCACTCTATTGCACTCGTGCGAAAAAATGATTTTCTCGCATCGGGAAAAGGCTCGTGACCACCTCATTTCACATGGGATGCACCGGACAAAATTAACCATACCATATACGTGGATAAGGATCGTGAAAGTGCAAAATATAAAATCCATCCTTGTCAACCTGTCCGCCGGGAGACCAATATACTGACGCGAAACGTGAAAAAATCTTTTGGCGGCAATTCCAACATATCCTTGAGGGTCACACCTAGTCAAATAAGAATTTCGAAAACCTATCTCCGCAAGATCAAATCAAATAAGATGGGCTTCAAAACTTACGACACTAAATTCGCGTCGAAAACAATGGACATAAAAATGCGGGAGCTGAAATAAATTGTCGAAAACTTGTTGAGAAAATGTTTAAATCGACTCCCAGAAGTTTGTCGTCGCAGGGGATGAAAACTACTGCTCCAACGACCTCGGGGCGTCCATCGTGTAAAGTTCTACTCGCGTGGAAGTAAAAATGACTTTCTTCCGAAACATAAATTCAAAGCCAAACAAAATTTCCAATGCAATACATAAAACGGCTGGTGATCGACAAAAATAGGATCGTTTCAAATCGATTCGGGTCCACCAAGAACATGAACTTTGAACTCTATTTGAAAGAGTGTATCAAGGAAAGCAACTGATTTCATCGAGAAAAAGACAACGCTCCAAACGTACCTCAATGTCTTCCATTGGAAGATTTTGGGAATTAATTGAGAAACAACATACTCGGAAAAAACGGCACCAAAAAATTTGGAGAAATTTCGGCGGGTTGTGGAGAAAATCATAGAATTGGTGAAACGAGTGGCAAAACGGTCATGAGGGGTAAAAGCAAGCTTCTAAAAGTAAGTAAATTTAGGGTAACTTCTCCCCACCGGAAAGCGATATTTGAACCATTGAGGGATAAAAAAACTTCGGTCTGGTCATCGTTAGTAGAGAGCCCATGGGAAATAAAGGTGATGGGACATTTTGGCCTACTTATGGTCAAAAAATGGTTCTAGAAATCTCAAATTTTCGTAAAATATGTTAAATATATCTGATCATAGATATCCACAAACAAAAGAGACTTAAATCCATTGTCCATCTCGTATTTAACCTTTTACTTCGCGTCCGCCGTTAATGCTTTTCCTGAAGACTTTGCAACTTCACTGCCAATTTTTTCTTACCGGAGCCGAAATTTTCTTTAAATATTCACTGTTTCACAAGGCAGAGAGTATTACTTCTTACAAAGAGTCGAAAATGTTTCGATGAGGCGAAAATAAGGGACATTTGGAGGGTTTTCATTTTTCAAAATCAAACGGCCATTTGATCACAATGTATTTTGATGCTAGCCAAACCAGAAATTTGTTGGAAAATTTTGAACAACATTTTAATTTCTCTCCGGATTTCACTTGAGAGACATATTTCCCATGAAAAATTGCATTCCCGGAGTTTCTGTCACATTCTTAAGGACGTAGAACTTGTCGTCAGTGACCAACTTTTTTGGTGTAATTTTTTTGTAAAGCTTGGGAGGTTTTGTATTTACCATTTTTTCTTGACCTTCTGTATGTCTTGCTGCAGATTTGTTTGTACACGCTTTGACCCATAACTTATGGGCCTTAACATGGTGGAAGTAGTTTGTATTTATCTTGGACCTTTCGGCCGTATCAGGCATGGGCGTGAAGCGATATTGTCCAAAAATAAATTCAATCGTTTTTTAACTTTCAAGGGGTCATTATGATGGTTTTTTCTCATAGTGCGTTTTTGAGGTTAACATTTTCGGATTCTCCATAATTTTTTATATTTGTCTTAATTTTTGCACGCCCACATCCTTGCCCGTTGAAATGTAATCAAGCTTTCCACGAGTCTTTGTCAAACCAAATTCTGGTACTTACAAAAAAAACTCGTTTCGCGAGTTCGTCATTTTGAAATGACGTACGAAATTTTTCTTTCAATGAAAACTTTTGGGGTGCAGTCAGGGTTACAAGTGATATATATCACTGAGTGAGATTTAGTGAGATTTAATGATATATATCAATCATCTCACTTGGGGCTGAGTGAGAAATATGAGAAATAATGAGATAAACTTGTAGTTCATGACCACATCCGCTAGGTGGCGCTAGTGCATGGCTCATAAATCTCACTAAATCTCATATTTCTCATGTCTCACTATTTCTCATTATATCTCAGTGAGATGAGATTTACGAGGGTGAGCTGAGATTTCTGCAACCCTGGGTGCAGTATCAAATGTATTTAACATATTATACTAAAATTTGAGACTTCTATGGTCGTGGAATTATAATTAAAGATATTTTTACGTAAGAAATGCATGTAAAAATGTCTTTAATTGTAATGCCTCGACCATAGAACCAATTTTTGACCATTTGAAGGCCAAAATGCCCCCATGACCACTATTTCCCGTGGGCTCTCTATTGCACAAAAGTTTCAATGAAATTGTTTCATTGCATTTGATTTTTGCGTTCATTTTTTACAAGCCAAAATAACTTGACACTTTCTTTCAGTGACCAGTCCATAGCTTTAGATTAAAATATTATAAGTTACATTTAAATAGCTCAATTGACTAATTTTGAATTGTTCGTTTGTAACCTTAGGATTTAAAATTATGTGGTCCAAGTCAATACAAGTAGCGTTTCTTGAGGCAGTTTGTGCGATGGTCAGAATTTGTCAAAATATTTAAGGTCAAAGTTTAAAAATGGGCGATTTCACCCTTCAGAAGGAAATGAGAGTGGGGTTAGCTTAATCCGTTTGCCAAAAATATCTTGCCAAATTCTGACCATCGCACAAACTGCCTCAAGAAACGCTATTTGTATTGACTTGGACCACATAATTTTAAAATTTCGAGAATTTTAAAACTAAATTGGAGGGTTAGTGATTGAAAAATTGATTAGGAAAAATTACACTGAGAATGAATTTCAGGATATTTCTAAATTTAAACCGTTACCTAATTAAAAATGCTCATTGAAATCTAGAAGAATACAGGAAAACTTTAAATTTTTATAATTTGAAAATAAAACGCAAAAAATAAAAATTTTTAAATAAACATGTCCCAAAGGGTCAGTGAGTCAGGGGACGGAGCGGATGTGCGCGCAGCGCACATCCGCTCGGCTTGCTTTGACCTGCATATGAGGTCAGCGTTAGACCTACCTGGCCTCTGGGGTGGTGGGAAAGTATGACATGCATGCATGCATTAATCTATAATAAGTGGCATACTGCAGCTACGTATGTAACTCATACTTATGTAAATATGCTGTAGTGCGTGTAAAATTACCAGCATTAAGCAGTATAGCTAAATAGTTAGTTACTCGCTTAAGTTCAGTGTTTGTTCCAAGATTCGAGAATTAATCGACGAAACTAATTAACCAACATAATTACAACATATAAGTTGGTGTTGCATAATGCTTTATCCCAGAGTATTCACCTCATTGCATAATTCGTCACGGAATATCTCCCATGAACAATATATCTTTTCAAATTTTTACTGAATGTCAAGAACAAAATAATCCAGAAATCCCCGACTAAGGTTCTAGAACTTGTATCCCAAACATGTTTCAGAAACATATCTTCGTACTACTCATGCTAGCCATGGTACCCACAATGTTCTGTGAGGATGACCTGCCCCCCGTAAATTTAAATTTCGAACACTTTGGCCCTTGCGTAATGAAATTCTTGCCAATGAGGGATGACTTCGTATCCATTGATCTAACAGAGCACCTTATCCAAGCCAACAATCCGACCAATCTGATCTACGTAGGTGCTTTACTATTAATTTTCAAAAGGTATGTTCCGCACTGTTTCTGACCAAAATTTTGATGAAATAACAAACTTCAA